TCATTATCTTGTAAGATGAAAAATAAAAATAAGACAGTATGAAGGCATCTCTATGGAATCCCTGGAGCTCATGCTGTCCCGGAAGTCTTGATGGTAGTCACTGCCTCTTGAGATACTGATCTCTAAGGCTAGCTTTTCTCCAAATAGGTAGATATCGAGTTTATTTCTGGCTGGATTGGAATAAATTTTCCTACTAGAAACACATCATTCTAAATTCTAAACAAAGCACTCAGAAAAAGTGTCCAGTTCTGAAGCGAAACTGCTAAACTCTCAGTGGTGGTGATGTTGGAGGTTTCCAGCACTGACTACAAGTGTTGACTTCTCTGCTTGGGCCCAGTGATGATCTAACACTTTTTTAAAATATCAACACTCCTCTTCCTCTAAATTAGTAACATACTAGCTCTTCCCTCTAAAATGCTTGCCTGTGTCCTGTGAGATCTGCTGTAAGTCCAGGCTCTCCAGTCAATATGAAGAGTAGTAGGCCCTAGCCTGCCATTGGCCATTAAGCCGTGTGGCCTTGGAAAGAAATGCTTAAGGAACAGTGATTAAGTTGTGGACCTGTTCGCTACTAGGGCAACAAATCAAAAGCACAACAGTTGACTGTCATGCAGAAATTCCCACCCCTGCCACTTTCTATCAGCATGATCTTGAGCAGGTTATATCTTTGTGTAGTCTAATCTTCTCATCTGTAAGATGGTTCTTCCATCAAAGTGTGATTAAAAGGATTAACATACAATTATCTGTATAAGCACTTGGCTCAGTGTTTGCTAAGTCTTTACTAAATGTAGCTATTACTGCAGCTGTATGTACTGTACCATAAAGAATCAGGTTCAGCTGGATTACCATCCCTTGACAGGTCAGTTAACGAGGCATACAAACATGTTCTGTCTCTTTTCACTTATGCTTGAAGGACATATTATTCACATATAATTAATACATGTTTATATATATATATATTACTGTTGATGAACATGTACTAATTATGCACATAGGTCCCTTGTAATAGAGTTCATATTCTGCCCATCCAAATGCCTCATCCCAGTCATGGAGGAAAATATGTAGGGAAGAGTCTTATTATCACAAACTAAGGACAGCTATACAGCAATTAGTCCAGTTGCTTAACTATAATCAAAGAGGGAAATTAATAACTCCATCGCATTAAAACTTTTTAGAAATCTTCCCAAAGTTTTTTTCTGGCTTGAAAATAAAAACCTTTTAGTGTAAATCAACTCACTTTGTTATGTGAATCATGATTTGTAACCAATTTATCTTGAAGACTAACCTAGAAAGTCAGTTTGCTTTAAGTTTAAAAATTCAGTGGTTATTTCTTGGATGGTTTTGTGGTCACAGTACTTATTTGATTATACTTTCTATACATCACTTTTAGGAAATTATAATTTCAACCCTCAGACAAAGAGTTTGGAGACTGCAGTAGAGGAAATCTAGGCTCCTATATTCACCTCCGTGCACTGACCTCCCTCTCCATAACTCACGAGGGTGGCCTCTTTCCAGGCACTATTAGACCACTTCTCTTTCATAAGATGTAAGCCAAGCCCTTCACTCTTTGATGTTGCAGTATTTATGACTATGTACCTGCCTGACACACAAAATAATGCCAGAATTTATCCAGTACACTGGGGTTAATGCTCATTGGAATGTATGGGATTTCTTGAAATCAAAGAGTCTTAATAGCTCCATAAATACCAAAGATATCCATATGTAGGCTTCCTGAAGTCCCGGTATTCCTGAACTTTAGTCAAGTTCCATGGAGAGTTAACTGACTCTGTCTCGAAGTGCATTCCCAGATTAAGTGAGACCATTAAGTACTTTAATATCTAGGAAGTGCCTTTTTCCTATCATCTTGAATTTACTGTAAGGAGGTTCTTAAAATGTTGCTAATTCCATTACAGCATTTTCTTATGAAAATTGATAGCAGATATTTCTCAATGGTTTCATAAGTAGGAATAGTCATGAATAGATTATTTTAAAATAAGAACACAGTAATGCGTTCAATTCTTTGTGGCATTAGAAAGTTTAGAGCCAAAGCATGGACCTGCCTCGTATACAAATAACTACAGTGTCTCAGCATATGTTTTATGTGACTTGCCCTTGATGTCTGAGAGGCCAATAAATAATTCCCATTTACTCCCACCCAGGTGCTAATTAATTGAGACCAGTGGCAATCCAAAAGTCCATTTTATTATCAAATGCAGCTAGTGGGAGAAGACAGCTTGCTATGGCACCTGGTAACGTGCAGTCCTGCAGAGGGATGGCAAGTCTCTGCAGACAAGTGCCCTTGCCCCAAGGAGGGGAGCTTCTCGACCTTTTTTCTCAGGTGCACACTGCCCTTGGTCCACCTCCCTGAAGGAGGAGCTGGAGCAGAAGGCCAAGAGTGCAACTCACAGAGGAACCTTACTGGGGAAGAGTGCGAAGTCACCCAGTTAGCTTGTGTCCTTTATTTTCTTTCCTACCATAATCCTCCTTTGCTCAGCTGTTTAGTTAATTGCAGCAGCATACAATTTTTTGTAAAATTTCTTTGACTTTTAGGGCAAATGGTTTGACACAAATAATTTAATTCATATATTTATTTTTTAAAATCACTGGAATTCTTTATTTTGATTACTTATCATTATTATTGTTATTATTTCTTTATTCTTGAGACAGGATCTTGCCTTATTGTCCAGGTTAGCCTCAAACTCCTGGACTCAAGCATTCCTCCTGCTTCAGTATCCTAAGCATGTGGGGCTACAGTGATGTGTCAGCGCACCTGGCCTTCACCAAATTTACAGTGCTCCTGAGAAAAGGGTGTTGGGGACTGCTGAAGTCTGTAATGAGTGAACTGTTTTTCTCCTACCTCTCGGTGATTCACTTAAAACTCTGTTCCTTCTCTGTCCTTCATAAGATCATGTTACTCAGTTTTTAAACACAAAGAGATACACGGACTTAAACCCCGGTGAACGTGATCTACACCAAATTATTTAGAGTTCATTTCTGCAAAGAAGCAGATATGATAAAACGTTCAACCATGAACCCACTTTAAAAGAATCAATGCCAAGTTTTTGAGAAATGTGTATTATGCTTTTAAGACAACTAACTTGAAAGCCAATATCCTTATTTCACTGAAGATATTACTATTGAGAGAATTTTCTTAATTCTTTCTGTAGAATGACTATTAGAGGCTTCAGAAAGTATCTCAGATATTCTCAAAAATGAGAAGTGCTCTATCTTATTTTTCTCTTGTTGCTGTGACGAAATACTCGACACCCAAATTTAGGGAAGGAAAGATTTATTTAGCTCACAGTTTGTGGAAGTTTCAGCCCATAATCAGCTGGCTCCAAGGCAGGGTGGCATGGCGCGGGGGCAACACTTAAAGGTAGCAGAAGACAGCAAAAGAAACAGGAGCAAAAGAAAGAGTAAGCCTCTTTTCCTCCCTTTGGACTGTAAGCAGGCTGCCCCACCACCACCACCAGATGGGTACAGCACTCACACTATCTCTGTAGCCTGCTCTTATATAAGATGAGGATTTTTAACGAAGTAAGGACTTTGACTCCCTGCTGAATCACTTAGTTAATTTCTAAACTTCTCAAGCTGACATTAATGAACAACATCCTAAAGCAAGGTTGTGTCCTCCACACCCCAGGATGTAGAAGTGCTGAGTTACTTAGTTAAGCTTCTGGACCTCTCAAGTTGACACAGCGTATCAGCCATTACATGCTTTTCCTGGTGGACCTAATTTTGGAAACTATTCAGAGTTGTATATAATAAATTCTGTACCTACTCAAGTCTAATGACAAAAGTTTAGTTAAAAACAAGAATGGCAGGAGAAAATATTGGAGCTAATCTTCATGATCTTGAATTTGGCACTGGTTTCATAAATGTGACACTAAAAGCACAGGCAGTAGATAAAAGTGGGGGGAAACCCCTCCAGGATGGGAGAAAGTATTATAAATCATCTACTTGACATTTATGCGGAATAGATAAGAAATTCCTACAATTCAGTAACAACAAACAACAATCCAACTTTAAAAATGTGCCAAGGGCTTAACAGACATTCCCCTCCCCTGTGGTCATCAAGCACGTGAAATGATCATTCATTTTTAGTGTAAAACATTAGATCAGAATAGTAACTCATTAGATAAATACAAATAAAAACCAGAAAAGCCCACATCACACTGTGATGGCCATAACTGACGGGGGGAAAGGAAATAAAATAGCACTTGTGGAAGAGGAAGTGAAGAAATTAGAAGCTTCAAACATTCCTGGAAGAAGTGTAAAATGGTGCAGCTATTGTGGTAAACAGTACAATGGTTCCTCAAAAATTAGACACAGCAATTCCATTGGGTATTTGGACTGATGAAAGGATTTGGCAGATATCTGAGATAACTGCACAACATTGTGACTGTTATTAATGTCACTGGATTATACACTGTAAAACAGTTAAATTTGTATTTACATTAATGTTGTTACTAAATGTCAAATATACAATATATTTTATTAATCACTCATAATAAATCTTAGCTATTTATAATTACAATTATAAAAGTTCAAAATCTATAGGATAAATTTATACTTGTAAAAACTTTACAGTCCTTTCTTTTGACAAATGCATTGTTGAAACACTGAAATGCAAATGGATCCTGCACCAATACTGTAATTTTTAAAATCCCATTAGAAGATGCTGAGGCAGCTTTTGTGTGCCTTTTTAAAAGGCAAAGCCCTGTATTCGCATAGTATCAGGAGATGAAAAAAGGAGAAATGGGGGGGGGGTTGTGATTCAAAAGAATGCATAACCAATTGGCCCAATCTCACGGCTTACATCCTATGAAAAGGAAATTAGTGCACTGAAGTCCATACTAACACCTTAGAAGGGGGAAATCACGTATCTTCGGGCCATTTCCCCCCCATCTGCAGCCTGGTCCTGGAGTTCCTTGGTCTCCCCTTCTCCCTGCTAAACCCTTGCATCGCAGGTGGTCGCTCACGTTTGCCTGGTTCTTTTCCAGAGCACAGGAAACTTGGAAACATGACTGTGACGGTGAAGAAGACCGTGCCCTCCCCCGAGGCCGTGCAGATTCTCTACCAGCGAATGAAATACGAGTACGAGTTCTACCACTACGTCAGGGAGCAGTTCCACCTGCTGAAGCGCAAGTTCGGCCTCAAGTCCCGCGCCAGCCGGCCCCCTCTGCGCCCGCAGTTCTTCATCCCCACCCCTCTGGAAACCGAGGAGCCCATGGACGACGAGGAGCAAGACGATGAGAAGTGGCTAGAAGATATTTATAAGAGGTGATGCCAGCTCTGGTTGCCTCCATGGTTGTATCTCCTTTCCAGAAAGATTTTTGTTTGAAGGAAGAAAAATCCTGATGGGACTTTAAATTAATGCTCGGGTGCATTAAAAAGAACAAAACATTCCCACATGGTGGGGTCACTGGGAGATGCCCGGTTTTGCGGGTGGTGTTTGTTTAATTTTATTCTATGCTTTCTCTTGGCTCCTTGGGGCCTTCCCAGATATACAAATGTCTCCATCACAAGGCATCATGTCATAAAATAGCCTTTTCCTCCCCTCCCGCATAGGATGGAAGGAAGAGGAGAAATATATTCCATAGCCCAATAATTTATCATTTGTAAAATGAGTTGTAAAAATATTACCTCGGTGGTAGAAGATATTCAGACTTGTTTATGTCAGTAGAAATATAAAACCACTTCACAGACCAGGGAGTCTGCTCAAGAAGTATCTAAGAAGAAAAGGTAAGGTAAGAGCAGCAAAGAAAGGATGTCCCTGGTTAAATGGCTTCTGCCCAGGAGCAGAACACTGTCACCAAGAGCAGTGCACTTATCTCTGAAAGAACAAGTCATCTTGTGCCATGTCCCCAAGCCATCAGAACCTGGAGAACCTTTCCAAGTTAAAGTGCATGGCAGGTTCTACTGAGACATTCCAATCTCAGGCACCATTCTGACAGTCACCAAAGTAGCACAGCAAGGAAAAGGATTTGTTTGCTGAGTAAGGAAGAGTATACGCAGCACAGAGCCAATCAGGGGGCCATGTGGCAACAGCAAAAGAGCACAGTCATGTGCTTTGCAGCCAATCTGAAACATCTGTGTTCCTGGCAGCAGTTTAAGTGGAAGTTCCAGGAACCAGTGTAGCTCTGGCATTCATTTTTATGGTAGGAACTCTAAACCTGACCACAGACAGTGCATAATCTCTGAAGTCCACCCCTGCCCACCTAAGATCTTATCTGGTATCTGGTACCTGTCTGCTTTTAGTAATAAGGGGTTCTGAGCTCTATGCAGGCAGCAATAGAACTATAGCCTCATTTTTTATGGAATCTGTTTACTCTTAAGAACTTACCAGGGACATCAAAGACAGAAAAATAAGGAGTCTGGGTAGAAGACAGCCCAGCTTTATGAAGCTTTTTAAAGCGGGTGGATCCTACTATGTGATCTCCGTAGATGCTAGGCAGTCCCATTACCTCTGACTATTCCATCTGCCCACCCTCCACCCCATCACCACCCCACCCCCAGTTCAATTATTAGAAATCTTTTCCCTTAAATTCTGAAGTTATTTTTCACCTTTTTAAAAAGTCCCGGAAGTGCATATCCTCCTGAGGGGATGACCCTAGGAGTCAGGATGCAGAGGTAGAAGTCAGACAGGTGCTTGTGAGAAACACTGTGCTCCATGTTTGCCTCTTAGAGCCAGCTCAGCAAGAGTCATTTTAGAAAAGTGAGTCAAAGGGCTTAAGACTTAAGACTTTAGGCCATTTACACATTTTCTGCTTTTCAGAAAACAACAGTCTCTAGAATTTTTTTTCCTTCCTCACTAAAACTAAACAGTGGCCAATATATAAAGCAAGTCACTTGGAACCTGCCCAGTGTGTGGTAAAGCTACTTTCTCATGAGATGTATTAAAAAGGCTCCAGCCCATAGGCATCCAGTGAAGGCAGGGACCACAGAGGCACAAAGTCCAGCACTTGTGAGTTTTCTGCTTCATGCGACTGAGGCAGCAGAGTGAGTAAGGTACACGTTCGCACAGTCAGAAATGTCCTCTGTCCTGTGCAGAGAGGCCAGGGCCCTACTACTAGGCATGATTTTAAAAACAACTTTAAAAACAGCTATACTCAAAACAGTTTAAGAAGTGCTGTGAATACGATATATTGTGAGACTTTTCTATTAAATTACATAAGAAGAATGATGGTAAGTTTACACACTGTGCAGTCTCACAATCTGAAAATAAAGTTCTGATGATTGTTTTCTCTGCTGTTGTTAGAGCAGCAGAATAACTGGTCATTCAACAAGTGCTCCTCTTTCTGCAAGTTCCCACAGGCACATCTGCTTGAGTGTCAAAGGTACTTATTTTTGGCAGTGATCAGTACAACTTCACAACAAACGATGCCAACTGATTATTTGTAGGGACTTCTTATTTTGCTCCAATAAATAGCCCCTACTTCCTAAAAGTCAGGGCACTTCATTGGTTTATTTGGTACACATGACAACATTTATTTGGCCCTGGGTCCAATACAGTTTGTACTTAATAAAATATATTGTACATTTTACATAGTTTAATTTAAAAAGTACATTTTAAGCTAGTTGTTCTTTGACTGCCTTATTTATTATAACCTTTCAGCACATTCCAATGTTTTAGTTACTCAGGAAGGAGTTAATTAAAATGATTTTATTTTGGTGTGATGGATGTTTTCTAAAAGGAAAATTATTATTATGAACCCTCCGCCTACTTTCCTTGAGTGCTATAAAAGTGCTTGTAAATCTTTTTTTTCCCTAAAGAAGAAAAAATGATATTTGACATTGATGGAAATTCAAAAATATATATGGAACTGAAACATAATCTTAGCTAAAATAAAAACAATCTGTGTTTGAGATGAAGTGTTCCTTAATTTATTCACTATCTATATAAATAAATGAATATAAATAAGTTGAAATTTCTTCCATTCTGTTGATAACTGAAAATAAAGGTGCCTGTAAATTATCACAGATCCTTAACCCTCTAAATCAGCAAAACATTTTCGCATAAAATGTCATTTTGAACAGATACGTTTTTGAAAGCCTATCAACTTTCATTTTTGTAACTATAAGCCACCCAAAAACAGTGTCGATAAATCAGCTAGTCCTCTCTTTCATTTACCTGAGTATATAAAATAGTAAACCACAGACATTATTTCTGTTTCCACTTTTTGGCTTGGTATCAGGGTGATGCATCAGAACCCTTGATGTCTGACACGGATCATCAAGACTGCATGTGTACAGTAAAGTATGGAGAAAAAGGACATATCACACCTCTCCGTGTATAAGCTGATGTTTCTCAGATGCTGAAAGCCTCAAATAGCGAATGATTCTAAGTTCTCAGGAGGTCCAGAAATGTCCATCCTGGAGAATTTCTCTGCTGTAATCCACTGGAACTTAGCAGATCAACAGAAAGAGAATCCCCGTGCTTTCTAGATGTCTCACACTACATTCCAACTTCGTTTGACTCACTCATAGAAGAAAGGACTCAATCTTGATATTAGGATAAAGACGACTCCATTTCGGTAATAACATGATTCATTTCAAGAATCCAAAAATCTTAAGTAACAAGTGATAAGTATGAACTTCCTTTACCATTTAATTTGCCCTATAATGTAGTTAAATAAATTTGAATAAAATGCAAAATCAAAAATGAGAGACAAAAGTTAGACTGTACCACATCTGCTGTATTTGGCCTAAAGTTCTTTACTGATGTGTTGGTACCTATAAGTTACTCCAATGAGCTGTTTGCTTTAAATGAATTTTATAGAAAGACAGTATTTCTACCAAGACAAAATGACAATTCATAGCCATTAAATTGAACACCCCTGTAAGTCAAAATTGTGAATTTCCTTCAAGAAAATGTAAAGATGATATTTTAAATGAAGATAACATGTTGCATTTGACAGTAAAGAAACCTATAAGAACCCCAGTCATGCTGCATTAGGGCTCACACTAAAGACACTTTTTAACTTACAAATTTTTTAAAGACTCTGTCTTAGGTAATGGTAAAGACTTCAACATGTGGATTTGGGAGAAACACAGCTTATCCCATAACACCCAGATTGCAGCAGAAAAGTTAGAGCAAAAGAATTAAGATCCACCTAGGAGAGAAGTGTTCCACAAATACAATTGCCACAGAGCTCAGTAGTATGATCTGGACAAGGAAACCATGTCCCAGAGAGGAGATGCAAATATATCACAGGCTAATGTTTTTCCATTAAGAGCTCACTTAATTAACTTTTAAGCATCTACCAAATTAAAACTTTAAAACTTTAAATAGAGCCAAAGTTCATCTCCTGACCTAGAACCTAGAATGAAAATGGTGAAACACAATCAGCCACATTCAGAACCACTTGCCACACTGGGATTTTATGTGTTCACCCACAGGTTTCCTAGAAATCAGGGCTGAGGAACCCGCTCCTTACTGGTTCACATGTTCCAGGAAACAGAAAATGAGTGTTTTATTCTAGAATGTTCTTACCCCTTAAAAGGACACAAAGAGGTTCTTATTTCTTGGTAAACAGGCTTGGGTCCTGTTTGCCCATCTCAAAGGCAAAGTGAAGGCTCATGTCTTACTTCCTGCAAGAAGTTTCACATGGACCCACCTAAAAAACTGGAGTCCAAATGTAGCTCAGAAATCTAGTTGAATTTGTGTGCAGCCATGCCTGTGGAAGGCAGAACTAGAGGCTAACCAGGCCCCAACCCGATGCAGGCCTTGCTCCCTGACTGTTTGGCTGGAGAATTCCTTTCAGCCTAGGGCAGGCTTGGCTCACTGCTCCCAGCGCTGCCGATTCCCAAGGAACACCCAGATCCACAGATGTTCACGGGTCACAGAATTGTGAACTGACCACTTGTGCATTTTGGATTTCAACTTGTAAACATGGGGATTCCCTCTTGAAGGGGGAGGGGTGAGGAGGAAAGAATAATCACCATGCAAAGGAAAAATGTGAGCAATTTCTTTTCCTTTTGGAATCTTGGCGGGTGAGAATCTTCAATCTGGCTTTCACCAGACGCTGTATGCTTTGAGCAGGCACAGAGCTGTCTGCCCTCGGTTGTGCTGCCAGAACATTCAGATTTGACCGGTTACACGCCTTTTATTCCAGTCCCGAGCAGAGACAGTTCAGAGGATGGGAACTGCCAGATCTAGCGTACTGGCTGCACGATGCAGACTGGAGACTGTGAAACCAGGAAGCAAAGTGATTGCGAGAGGCACGGGCTGCACACCAGAAAAGTCCTGGGTTCAAATCCCAGCTGGTCTATTTCACTGAGGCCCAGAGTAAATTTCTTGACAGCCCAGTGCCTGAAGTTAAACTAGTGGAAAGCACTAGAGAGAGAGTAAGTATACTGAAATCCACAAAGTGCTTCTGGGATGAACTTTTCCCACCCTCCACCCCTAAACGCGAAGAAACTAAGAGCCACAGTCCTGTTGTTGGTGAAGGACTCATTCTCATCACAGAACACTATATCCCTCGCAAGAGAAACATAATTGCACACAATTCTAGATCTGTCAAGGCCCCATCCTTCGCATCTGTAAGCATCATTGCCCGATCTGCTGGTGAGTTCATAGAAAGCCACACTCTTGAAATGCAAATAGAACTCCACTACACAAAAATTGGGATAATAAAGTAGGGACTTTCCTTGAAAAACTGTCTTGTCTCCATCTTCTGACCTGCTTCTGCTGCTCTATTTACTATGCTATTATCCAAAACAAACCATTTTGTAGATTCCTTTTTTTCTGGAACATTCTTAAAGAGGAGTTTATATAGCCATGAGTTACAAGATTCGTATTTCGTTTACAGCTTACAGTAAACTAAACTGCCAGGTTTCCTCTAACTTCTTTGTGTATTTATGATTCTGTTAATAATAATAAAAGTACACACATTAATTAGTATGGGTTGTCATAAAGAAAAAAATTAGGGGAGAGGAAGCAGGAATCAAACTCAGGGCCTTGTGCTTGCCGAGCAGGTGCTTATGCCAGTGAGCTTATGCCCCCAACCCAGGAAAACGTTTTATAAAAATTCAAAATCTAGTATGACTAGGTGTTCCACTTTTTGAAGTCTTGTTTCTCATTCCCAGAAGTAGCATCATGACTATGAGGTAGAAGAAATGTGGTAACGATTTTGTGGGTTGGTGATGCTTTCAGTGTGGCTGTTCCTTTTGACCCAGAGATGAAACTGCCATGGATTGAGACTTTTATATATAGTATTACTAACTTTTCAAACACAAAAGAGAGTTAGGATACAGACCACAGCTTTCTAAGAGTCACCCTGTTTGTATCAAATCTATCTTTTTTTTTTTTTTTTTTTTTTTTTTTTTTTTTGTCTTTTTCCTTTTTATCAGTACCGGGGATTGAACTCACGACTGCCTGCTTGCAAGGCAGGCTCTTATGCCGCTGAGCTAAATCCCCAGCCCCTATCTTCTTTTCTTCAGTATACTTTCATATTTGTTGCCTACCTTTGATTGGAAGATAATGGAATTCTGATCCAGTGCACAATCCCAAAAGAATAAGAATTTTAAATACTTTGGAAAATGCTGCAGTTCTGAGTGTGGTGTCACATGATTGGTGGTATTAAGAGCATCCTGAGGGCTCTGAGACATACTACGGTTATTTTAAAAAATCAATTCATCTTTGCCAAATCCCAAATATTTCAAAGTTAACCTGGAACCCTTATTTGAATAAGGCCATTGCTACCTTGTGGAACCAATGTTCTAGAGACGAGACTTGTAAGAAACACTGCTTCATTACACATCATCACACTGCACTTCTCCCCATTGGAAGAGTTGCTTTCCTTTCCTTCTGCTGTGGTTTAATTTGGGGCTTTCCTAGTGGCCCGTGTATCCTGCTTGAGGAAAATATATTTGCAGATGACTAATACTTTGATAAATACAAGATGGGAATCTTTTTAATAAAATAATTACCTAGAAATCATCTTCAGGCTCACTTATTCTCCCTAGTTACATTCTTTTTTTTTTTTTTTTTTTTTTTTTTTTTTTTTTTTTTTTTGTCTTTTTCCTTTTTATCAGTACTGGGGATCGAACTCATGACCGCCTGCTTGCAAGGCGGGTGCTTATGCTGCTGAGCTAAATCCCCAGCCCCCTAGTTACATTCTTTTACTTCAGGAAAAAGTAAAAAAAAAAAACAAAAAAAACTTTTTAAAACCAAATATTTAAGTACTTTCCTATATTATTTATATACTTACCCCATAATTTATATACTTCACGGCCCCCATAATGATCACTGCTCAAACCCATTGGAATAAAAGATATCTGTCTCTCTTTTTTCCCGGGCCTATAGTTATTTGTTCAAGAGGAAGAAAGATGTGGCAAACAGATCTCTGCAGCTCACACAAGACTGGTGATTGGGAATAAGAATTTGCAGCATCCACGCATGGGGCACCTATGTTGTTCAGTACACTAGAGGGAGCCGTGTCCACAACAATTTATTCCAAAGCCCAAGTTCTTTCCAAACTGAATTTTTCACCCATACCTGCTGATTTTCCTCCCCTGCTTGAGAGCAAGATGAGTCAGGAAGAACTCACGGTTAGCGGATTTGAATCACAGTGTACACGCTGTCATTCAATTGTTTATTATCTCTCTTGGGTCATATGACTTAATATCATTTAATTATTTTAAAATACTATTTTATTTTTACAAGCAGTCTATCGGATCATCTTTTCTGAGTGCCTTGTATAATTACCAGTTTGAAATTCTCAGTCACTAAATAAGAAGTGACCCACATGCTGACTGTTACAGACAGCCCTCAGGCAACATCATAATTGCAGCTATTAAGGTAAGTGGAAAGTACCTAAAAAGTAAGATTGTGGGAAGATGTCAAGAAAGGCAGTATAAACTGG